CTTAATATTGTTGATTCAAATGTATCAGAATTAGGTATGAATTTAAAAAAAAAAAAAATCATAACTTATATTTATTTATTTATTATATTTACTTATATTTAAATTCATATATAAATATAAATTTCATATAAAATTTAAAATTTTTTAGAAGTAATAGCTTTTACTAAAAGACTACAAGAAAAAATGAGGGAGCTAGAGCATAAATTAGAAGAAAATAAAATAAAAAGAGGAGAAGAAGAAAAAGAATTGCAAAAAGCAGTTGATATTTTACGTAGTAAATATTTAAAATTAGATACAGAAAAAAATCATGAAGAAAATGAAATAATTGAAACAAGAAAAGAAATTGATAAAATAAAATTGGATATTATGCAGGTTGTATATTTTTTTGTTAAAATGTTTTATTTATATTTTAAATTTATTTGAGATATTTTATTTTTAGCTTAGTGCAGAATCAAATAAGTTAAATTTTATTGAATCAAAATTACAAAAAGTACAAATAAGAATTCAACAATTAAATGATGCAATAGATATGGATACTATGAAGAAAGAAATTGCTGATAAGATTAAAATTCGAGATGAAACAGACACACTTTTAAATACAATTGATGAAGAAATAAATTTATTATTGAAACAAAGTTCACTCCAAGCTGAATTAGAATTAAATAAATCTACATTGATTATTAAAGAAAAAGAAATAGAAAAATTGAAAAAGAAACATGAAGAAAAAATAATTTCTTTACTTGATATCAAAGATCTATCTCAAATCAAATTAAAAAATAATTTTGACATGGTTCAAGAAGAATTGGTATTAAAAAACAAATATAATCATAATAAAAATACATATTTATTTTATTAATTTTTTTAATTTTATTAATTTTAGATAAATGAAATAGAATCTATAAATCAAAAAATTCGAATAGAAGAACATCAAATAGCTACATTAGAAACAACAATATCACATATTGAACATGAACTTCAAAACAAGAAGAAAGAAATAAATTGTGAGTTTAAAATTTAATAATTAAAAATTTATTATTTATATTAAAATATTATTAAACTTATTACAATAAACAATAAATTATATTTTTTTAGTGAATAAAGAAAAAATTTCATTAATTTGTTCTTATAAAAATTTTGATGAAGTATTATTATTACAATCAAAGAAAGTAAAAGATCTTCAAGATAAAAGGGGAATGTATGCTCATCAAAGTGCAGCTTACAAAGAATATATGAAACAATTAAGAAACACAAATCCTTGTTGTCCTTTATGTCACAGAGGTTTTGATAAAATTGAAACTATTACAACCTTATTAAAAGAAATGGAAACTGAAATAGAAAATCATCCAAATCGTTTGAAAGAATGTGAAAAAGAATTGAAAGTACAACAAGAAAAATATGATAAGATGTTACAACTAAAACCTGTCGTTGAAAGAATAATACAATTAGAAGAAATTGAATTAGAAAAATTAACGTAAATTTATTTGTTATATATTTTTTATTATAAATATCTATATATATATTATAAAATTTTTTAGGAATAATTTAGAAAAATTCAAGAATAAATTGAATGAATCTCGAACAATTGCAATAGAATTAAAAACAAAAAAATCTAATCCTGAAAAAAAATTAGTAATGTGTAAAGATATTATAGGTGATGTTATGTTATGGGATACTTACATTGATGATATTTTTAAACTAAAACAAATAATTGATAATTTTCATATTCGTATGACTGCTGCAGGTATTTTATATTGAATTAATTTTATTGATCTTTTAGTATTATTTATTATTTATTGATTATTTATTTATTATCTATTTATTCATTTTTTAGAATATAAATATTTTATTTATATATGTAGGTATTAAAACAAAACGTAGTCTTCAAGAAGCTCAAACTGAAAGAGAAGAATTGAAAATATCTTTAAAAAAGATTCGTGAGAATATTGAAAGATTACAATTTGAAATAAATATGCATAATGAAAAATTACATAATAGTGAACAGGAACAGAATACATTACACAAAGAACAGTTAAAAATACAATTAGATATGCAAAAATTGAAAGAGTTGAAGGATAATCAAGAAATTTTATATTTGAAAGAAATTTCTCTTGGAAAATCAATTGATACATTAAGAGAAAAAGTAACTTTATCAGAAACTGAATTAAATTCTGGACTTGATAAATTGGAAAAAAAAAAAGTATTTTTCATGTAACATAAATAAAAATTTTTATATTTGGAAATTATTTTTTTATGAAAATATTAAATTTTTATTAAATTTATAATATAAAAAATACATTGCTAACTTTTTTTATTTTAGAAAGATAATTGCGAAAAACAAGAAACCGATAGAAAATTAATAACAGAAGGAAGTAGACGTTTATCTGATTTACAGAAAATGCAGGATGATGTTGATAGCTTTATATATCGTAAAATTCCCGAATCTTTGGAATGTTCTGAATCAAAAATAAAAACTTATGAAAAATTACTTAATGAATTATTTTGTAAAAAAAATGATATGGAAACAACAATTAATAAATTAAAAGAAGAAATGACTCGTCAAGAAGTACGAAAAAGAGAATTGTCAGATAATCTTAAACTTCGCGAAATTCAGGAAATTATTAACAATTTACAAGAACAATATTCAAATATAAAAGAAAAATTAAATACTATAAATTATTCTGAAATATTTGATGAATGGCAAAATTTACAAAATCGAGAGCAAACTATACTTCGACAGGTATAATATTTTATTATATTACAGAAATAATAATAGAAATTTTATATAATCATTCGTATTCGTGTAATTACTATTTATTACTTACTATTTATATTTATTGCATTTTAATTGTTTATAAATTTTCTAAAAAAATCAATTACTTTGAATTAATTATAATATATAAATTTAATTAAAAATATCCTAAATGTTTTTAGAAAAATATGATCAAAGGTAATCAAGAAGAATTAGAAAGAACAGTACAACAATATGTTCAAGAATTGAAAAAAGATATATATAAACAAGCTCGTAAAAATTATAAAAGCAAATGTATCGAATTAACGGTAACAATTTTTTATTTTACTATTATTAACGGAAATTTTTAATAATTTTCTTTTGAATTAGGTTGTAGAAGAATCTATATTAAATTTAAAGGAATATAGCAAAGTATTGGATACAGCTATGATACAATATCATGAAGAACGTATGGCCACAGTTAATAGAATCATAAAACAATTATGGAAACTTGTATATACTGGAACAGATACAACTTCTATAGAAATTCGTACAGATGCAACTGAAGGAATAGGTGGTACAAAAAGAACATATAATTATAAATTAGTTCAAATGAAACATGGTCATGAAATAGATATGAAAGGTCGTTGTAGTGCTGGTCAAAAAGTAATTTTAATTT